AATTACCTTGACACACAAAGCTGATCTGGAAAAGTAGATATAAAAATGGAAGTCTTGGGGGGAGAGAGAGAAGTCACAGCAACAGAAAAAAGTCTTGTGGCATTGACCATAGGTAGGAATTATTACTCAGTCACATGGTCATGTTTGAGCAGTAGTTAGTATTTATAATCTTCAGTCCTGAAACTGTACCTATCCAATGGAGTCTTCATCTTTTTTGGTCAGTAGAAATATTAGTAAATCCTTATTGAATAGGATTAGAATTAGTCAACATGTTGCTTAGATGAATGTGTGGAGTTAGAGGTTATTTTTTACAACTTCAGTGTTTTTGTGTGAATGTGGCTTTGAAGGAGACTCAGTAACAAAAATGAAGAGAGATGGTTTCAGTTTATTCTAGGATACATGAACCTCACAAAAGAGGCGATGAAGTTTTTTTAGTCCTCAGTGAAACTGGCTGTATAAACAAGATGCCTTTTTTGCCTGGCTTTCTCTCAAGTCCCATAATTCTTGGGAAGCTATTCATTTAGATGGGAGAACAGAGCTGTCTTAATTGCAGTTTATGCATACCTGGGATGGCCAGTCTTTTCCATTATGCTAGAGGAGCTGGCTGTTCTTACAAACTGGTTTAACCTCTCACAGTTGCTTGCTTCACGTACATACACAGGTACTTGAACTGGTTTGTCTGTGTTTTAAGTAGAGTAGATAAGGCTTTCCACAAGTCTGAGAACCTGTTCAGCATAAACTGAATGTTTGCTCTGAGGTATGTAGGTGAGATGAAACTGCTCCTCCCTCTGCAAACTCATGATTTTAATGAATGAGAATATCCCTCAAGCCTTTTACCTGGCGTACCTGTGACTTCTATTCTGGTATCTGTAAGCTGGAGCGAACTGCTTACCTGCAAGCATGTTTTGGTTCATTCTTTAATGCTTCACCAATACCCCCATTTTTGGTGTTATGTTCTAGCTTTGGGCATAATTCTCAGGTTTTTTACCACTTTGACAACGTCATCACGTGGGTTCCCGAATCATTTTTGTTCAGGATTTTAAACAGCTGGTAGAGCTTTTGGTTCCTGACACTTTAGCAGATGACCATGATGTTATTCTGAGGCAGCTAGGGTAGTGGCAACTTGAGCGAAACTGCGTGAAGGACTGGAGCCCAACTACTGACATCTCAAAGTTGGTATTTATACTTTAGCAGTGTTTGCAGCCTACTGTAACTGCAGAACTGTTACTCTACCAAAAATCTTCCAGAAGCTGCTTCTGAGGCTATTCTAGGCACTGTGGTGTGGTTATCCAAGCTGCAGCACTGCAGGCAAAGCAGTTTAGAAAAATGTAGCTGTGAGGTAAACTTGCAGTGACACGAAAGTTGTTTCAGCATATCTAATACAGATTCAGAATATCATTTATGTTTAAAACTTATGACTGATCCATGGATGAACACATGGATTTTGTTTGTTGTTGTTTGTGTGTAGTGTCAAGAGTGCTTTTAACTCAGATACGTCATTGAGTCATTTCTTAAAACGTGGAGAGCTGTCAAACATGCATGTGGCAGTTACGATTTAATATGTCTATCTGAAATCAGTGTGGTTGCTACAGGCTTTTGCTATGTAACCTGAGAAGTTTTCTTTTTTAACATAGAACTAAGATATGACACGGAAACTATTGCTTAGCATTGGTATGTAAACAGCAGGATTCCTCAAAGAGGTCACTGCTGTCTGATTAGAAGTAGCAGATTGATGTGGAGATGTCATGAACTTTCTTTCGTTCATTATGATAAAGATGTCTTATTTTGCCATGTGTCGCCTCCACCAAGCTGCATCTTGCCTGCTTCCTTTCTCTTCCAACCCTCAAAGCAAATATAGTTTCTGTGGTAGACATGGTAAAACTTTTATTTATAAGAGAATTTTGTAAACACTGCACAAGGCTCCTGTTTTAGCACCCTCCATTTTAAAAGCATTCTAGCCATTAAAGTGGTAACAATCCTTTTTCATCCAAAAAGGAAAAAGGTCAAATCTTCACAGTACAGTGTATCTCTGTCTTCTGTGTGGTGGCCTGTCCCCAGCTGGAAGGATTTGCCAGTGTTAGTTTGAAGTGTACAGACCGTATGAGCAAGTGCTGCAACTGATTTTGATACCTCAAGAAGGCTGCTTGTAAATGTTTAGACACCCTTTTCAAAGAGGAGCAAATCTACTGAAATTTACTAGGAAAGCTGTGTTTTCTACTGTCTAGTTACCTCCTTTTTAGACTATGCTGTTCTTGATTTGTTATGCTTCTAGAGTTTTAAGTACTCTTCTGATTTCTTGTAGATGCAAAGATTGTAGGAGACTTGCTAAGCCTGCATAAACTTTTTCTTCTTTCAATCCTTGATCAGTGACCGCAAAGTTGTAGGGTTTACTTTTCTTCTGGTGGTATCATTGCATCAGCATCTCTTACCTCTTGAAGAAAGCATCAAATTTCAGGAGTGGTTGATTGTGCTGGTGGTGACAGAAGGTCAAGATGATAGTTCTGTTTGAATATGTTGCTGTTCAGGCAGAGAGGATATAACACTGAGCTTACCAGTGGTCGTGGAGCATGGGTCAAGGTGTCTGGCAGATCACAACCCTTGTATCTGCTGTAACAGACCAATAGATTGAGCATCCTTTTGTATTTTTCATGACGTCTCACTAAGATTTGTTGCTCCCCCCTTTTAGGGGTAGTTGTCGAAGAGAGTGATGTTAGGTTATAGGAATCTTTTTGACCTGTTCCTGAGAGGTCAAGCAGAGGCAGAAGAACTTTTCTTAAGGATGGTATTGTAGAGCAAGTGATATAAGGCTGATAATATATTAATATCACAGAATGTTCGGGGTTGGAAGGGACCTCTGTGGGTCATCTAGTCCAACCCCCCTGATGAAGCAGGGTCGCCTACAGCAGGCTGCACAGGACCTTGTCCAGGCAGGTCTTGAATATCTCCAGAGAAGGAGACTCCACAACCTCCCTGGGCAGCCTGTGCCAGGGCTCCG